AACTACCCCTCAACCTGAGCACTGCTGTTCTGTGCCCCCATGCGGCTACATCATCCCTCTTCGACGTTAAACGCGCCCCGCTCTGCCTCTCTCCCTTTTTGGGATACGTGTGGGTGTGGCATTTTCTGTGTGTTTGGTGTGTGCATGTGTTGCTGTTGCTCTAGGCGAGCTGCTCTTCTTCTTGCGCGTGCACGTTCTCCTGAGAGGACTGGCGGCACGGCTGCAAGTGCGACAAAGGTACATGGACATCATGGCCCCCTACGCGACCAAGGTGAACGTGCTGCGCTGCTCCGTGCGTGTTTTTGTTCTTGTATCATACTTCTAAAGTAACAAGTTTCTACTGCCGGTGAGGAGGAAGGGGGCATGTGCAGACCGCCTCGCCTGTGTTGATGGTGCCCTCGTGTTGTCTCTCGTGTTATTGTTGATACAGGGACCAGCCGCTTATCGGGACCAACATTCGATCGGCATCTCTGATTGTTGCTGTCAGGCGGCGGCGGGAGTATGATACAACCTTGACGATTTTCTGAATTTCTCTTTTTCTCTTTACGAGCTTGTAGTAGCTGTGGTCGATCTCAATCCCTGCCGTAGTTGCCCTGCGGTGTTTGGGGAGAAACCCCGGGGATGACGATTACTCGCGGTTCTCCCTGTCGAAGGCAAGGGAGGGAGGGTGCTGTTCGCCAGCGTCGATAGTGTTTTTCACACTGAAGGCCCCCGGGATGACACCCAATTCATCATTCACGTATGACAATCAAATATGCTCACAGGAGGTCACGCAAGATATTTTCGATCCCGATCTTACGGAGTTGCCGGTTAGATGAGGGTCAGAGCGATCCCCAGCCCGCAGCCAATGCTTTGTGTCGAAGAGAGTACCTTTTTTTGTTTGTTTCATTTGGTTCGACACAAGCGTCTTCGCCATGTACTCAGCTACATGTAGTCGCCAAGAAGGCGCTTTTGTTGTATTGCTTAAGTGTTGTATGTATGTATGTATAGGTTGGATTGTTTCACGTTGCCTTCGTTCCGTTCCGCTTTCAACCCAGTCAAGTCGCCTTCATTCCGTGTATTGCTACTCGGCCTAATGATGGGCGAACCGACTATCTCCGTCTTTACTCTTTGGGGCAGGCACGGGTGTGCACGCGGGTGCCAGGAGCGCACAGCGACCTAGATCTAGACCTGCCAAGCATCTCAAGCATTTCAAGCAAGCTACCCGCCACCAGGCAACCCCGCCTTTGTGCGGGAGCATCATCGTGTGCGCGCACGTACAAGGAAATACACGTATACGTCCCGCGTCCCGCTGGAAAGGAAAACAGCTTGACCTCCATCTACTTGACACCTTGAACAAACCACTCTTCCTTATTCCTTTATGTTCAACCTGTAGAATAATTTTTTTTTGCCAATTATGCGGCCGGCCTTGGTCCTTTGGTCGGTCTCTTCATTTGTTTTCAGGCTCTTCGCGAGATGGTGCCCGCGGAGGAGCGTGCGACGCAAGCCTTGTACCCTTCCCCCGTGCTCTCCCTCCTCGAAATCAAAGTGCGCAAGCTGCTGGAAGGCCTCGTCGAACGAGGTCAGATCACGGGATGCCAGGTGAACAGCGGGCAAGCAATCTGGGTTATGTCCACACGTCCTGCGCCGATGTCCCCCCTTGCTTGTGCTGGTACCAACTTCGTATGGGTTTCTTTCCTGCTGTCAACCACGTCCTGCACCGATACCCCGTGCTTGTATTGGTGTTCGTACGGGTTTCTTTTTTTTTTGTTCTCTCCGTCAAAGTCGGCCAGTTTCGGTGAAGTTTGTTCACCTTCCGCAGAAGCTCTCATGCGGATGAGGTTGTTTGAGAAATTCTCACAGGAGATGTTCCGCCCCAATGACGTGTAGGCGTCAGGTGACCAGCACTGACTCTCGCTGTAGAGTTCCGCGTCGCTGCTGCCGCCGACGCCCCCGCTACATGATTGTTTCGTACCCACCCCCTCCGGGCCCTCTCCGGGTGATCTGTCTTGATGGATTTGATTGTGTGATGTCGAAAGGAGCGACATGATGCGGTGTTGCCCCGGTCGGTGTCGCAGCACTTGAATTGAGGAGAGTTCGAATATAGGTAGGACAGTAGCGGCTACGGCTTAGGAGAGTCGGGACAAGCCAATTTCCCTCTCTTTAATCCGGCTTTCTCTATCGTCTCTGCTACGGTTTAAGAGAATTATTATCTTACAACGAATGTCGATATTTGAGAATATTCTCTTAAACCGTAGCAAAATTGAATTGCCGTCAGAGACGGACGCTCCTCATCACAATAATATGACGTAAGAGGTTGAGGAGAGCGTGTATCATTCATGTCACGTAACGCTGCATGCAGGGCGTCAGCACCTTTGGCTAGCTCCAACACCGCTCGTTCTGTTGGTTGGCGAACATTTAACCCATGTACGCGGTACGCTCTTGGCACCTGTGTTCAGAAATCAAATCATGGTGTCGTGCGATACATTGTTAAGGAAATGTATATATACACACAGAAATACTTTTTTTGCGCGTGTATGAGCTCTGTAGGTTGGAGTTGTAAATAGCGATACTTCTTGCTCGCACCTCTTCCAGAAGGACAACACGCTGGAGCCTACGGATGCACCACCACCACGTGCCCAAGAAAGAATTCACTCACTCACACGCTGAACCACCCACTCCTACCCCGCCCATCCCCTGCACACAAACCAACCCCAACCCCAATCCCATCCATTTGAAGCCCCTGGCGTGTTGTCGGAGACAGCTGTGCATGGACTGCCCGCTGCCCAGGACATGGTGTCTGCGGCTGTGTCCAGATGGGGCCCGCAGTTATGAAAACTTGTGCACAGAAAAAAAGGCTCAAAGTTTTACGGAATGTAAGGAAAAGGTCTAAGAAACACAGCTCAATCTAGGGCACAACATAAGAAACGTCCCAAGAAGAAACAAACATGATCGATCGTGCGATATCCCAAGCCAGAAGAAAGGGGGTAGAAGCTGATGGAGCGTGTCCAAAGAATCATCCCACTCACTGCTGCTGCTGCTGCCATGCTCCGACGTCCTACTAGCTAGCTCATGTCAATGTCATTTTTTGGTAGGGGCGGAGTGGTTATTTTCGCGGCGCCCCCCGCGCCCCAGCGCCGCCGCGGGCTGTGCTACCCACTGCTGCTGCTGCTGCTGCTGCTGTACTTTTGTAGTGCCACAACCCCCAATGTTCGCCACGCCGAGCTGTCGGTTTCATGCTGCATGAAGTCTTTTGGTGTGTTGTATCTTCGCCATCAGAAAGAAAAAAAACACAGCAGGAATAGGAGAATCAGCAGGATGCGACAGCCCAGAGGAATAAGAAATCGGTTTTAAGAAATTGACCGACTTCGGTTGGTCTTTCTGCCCAGAATAAGAAGCTGAGGCTCGACCCGATTGTGACGTTTCTTATCTCCGGCCCCTATTTGTATGTGTGTTGTGTGACGTCCACGTGGTTTCCAGATGTTCGATTTAAGAGAAAGTCTCAGAAATACAGTATCTCTTAAATCCGGTTTAAGAGAAATTTCCTCTTAATCTTATTCGGTCGGGACAAGCCAATTTCACTCTCTTCAATCCGTACTTTCTCTCAGATATTTTCCCTTAAACCATATCCGCTACTGTAGCTGTTGTTATTGTTTTTGTTGTTGTTGTGGTTGTTATTGTTTTTGTTATTGTTTTTGCTTTTGTTATTGTCAATGTTATTGTTACTGTTGGTTTCTTGTCGTTTCGACAGGAAGACGTGGGCAGTTGCGGAGGAACCGCCCGAAAGTGTTTTCATTGCACCGCTTTCGTTTTCAAAGGATAAGCAGCTGAGCGAAGTGCCCTCCTCAGGCAATCTCACCCCCCGCACGATTCCCCCTCCCCTCTCCGTCCCCTGACGTGTCTCGTCGTCGTTTCTCTCTCGGCCTCTCTCTCCAAAATCAACCATCCCTCAATCTCTCTCTGTTTCTCCTGTGTATCTCTGTCTACATGTCTGTCTTCTCTCTCTCTCTCTTCCCAACTCGGCCTCTATCTATCCCTGTCTCCGTCTCTCCGTGTCTCTCTCTTTCTCCTTCTCCCTCGCTCTTGCTCCATCCACGAACAGGTGTGCGTGATCTACAGGGGCCAGACTCTCGTCGACCTCTGCGCCGGGACGCAGGGGCCGGTGGACCCCCGCCCGGTTCGGCCCTCGACCCTCTTCTGCGTATTCAGCGCCGGCAAGGCAGTGTGCTCCACCGCCGTGCACCTCCTGGCGGACCGCGGCCTGCTGCGCTACGACCAGCGGCTCTCGGAGCTGTGGCCGGAGTTTGCGACCAACGGAAAGCTCAACACCACGGTGAGGAAGACGGTTTTGTTGTAGCCTAGGCTAGGGTGCAGTATCTAACGTGTGTTTTTTCAGTTTCGGGCATTTTTTTGCTTTTCAATTTTTGGTAGTTTTCAGTTTTCAGTTTCGGAGTTCTCTTAGTTTTTCAGTTTTGGGGGTGCAATGTAAATCAAGCTAGGAGGCGTGGGGGGGATAGGGTTAGGGATTGGGGCACCAAACCCCGCTTGCTACATGTTTGTATAGAATACGAGTAAGATTATCGCGAGAGCGGTCCGGGGAACAGGAGGAGTTGGTTGGATAGTCGGCTCATGCCTGGTCGGGTGCAGCAGCCCAGAGATCCGTTGCCCACGCCCAACACCGTGAACACCCGAGAGAGTGGTTTCGTCGGCGACACGCGGTGGAGTCGGGGTACTCTTTTTTTTTGTTTTCCTGGTGTTGCATGGATCGATCGGGCCAGGGGTACGTGCGCGCGTGCACGGTTTTTGTTTTCCGTTTGTTTGGTCTCCGGCGTGCGAGAAGCTGTTACCGATCTTCGCCGGTTCCCCCGATCTTTGCCGTACATTCGCGCGAAAGCCCTCTTTTTCGGAAATATCCATACAATTAACAGAGAGGCTACCCTTTCGAGATATAACTATCGCCCTTTCTAACCAATCCCCTATTGAATTTGACCCTTATTTTCATGTCAGGTGCGCCACGTGCTTACGCACTCGACCGGACTGCAGCATGCCTTTCCCGACAAGGCGACCTTCGACAGGGTCTGCGACTGGGGCGAGGTCCAGAGGACCCTCGAAGACGCGCATCCTGCGTGGCCCCCGGGGTCCCGTGCCTCGTATCACTACTTCACGTTCGGCTGGTTGGTGGCGGCTGTGGTCGAGAGGGTCGCCGGCGTCCCCTTCGGAAAGGTGCGTTCGGTCATATGTGTGGGTTGTTGGTTGTTGTTTTCCGAACCGCTCCGAGATGGGGTCACGAGCCGAAATCATTCTCTTCCTTGTGTCCGTTGTTTTCTACGATATCAAATCCTATTTCACTGGCACGGTATGCATAGCTTGAAAGCTACGGCGGGGGCGGAAGGGTTCTTCATTGGGGTCTGACGTTGTTGAAGATAGCATTTATTGGAGCTCGTGGAACGGTGGCGAATGATGTACTTTGGCCTATGATACAAGGCGGTCTCGCCGTGTTTTTTTGAGAGGTTTCCTTCTGCGTGGGCAGGAGATGAGTGTTCCTCACCGTTTCCCCCTTCCTGGCAATTTGTGGTGCCCCGATCAAGGTGAGGAAGGGATTCTCACTACTAACAAGGAAACCACAAGATGATTATCCCCCCATCTAATCACCCACGCGCACACGAAATCTCCGCGTCGTTTGCCACGCTATACATTGGATGACTGACTGACTGGCGCCTTGTGGTCGGTCTGTCGGCTAGGGCGGTCGGTGTCAAGTAACAACACACCCGACACGCAAGCCTCACCCCGGAAACCCAACGCGCGTCGCCTTTACAACATTGTGTGTTTAACCAGGATCTCGAGCGAATTATACGAACTCTGCAGCCTTCATGGTTTTGAGTGCTTATCCCCCCCCCCCATCAAACCTTCGCTTTCTCTGCCCTGCCGTCGGCGCACAAGTAGTTCGTTCGTGACGAAATCGCCACCCCGCTGGGGCTAGAGGACTCCTTCTTCATGGGGGGCCTCAGCGCGTGCGGCGTGGAAGCAAGCCGGATCGCCCACGTGGAGCACAAGTTCAAGATTCCTGGCCGTTCGGGGGTCGGTCTCGGCTCTAAAGACGGGAGCGAGTCGGCGGCGGGAGCGGGGGCGACCAAGCAGGAAGCAACGGAAAGCGGCAGCAGCACCACAGCCACTACCACCAGCATCACCGACAGCAGCAGCAGCAGCAGCGGCGGTGGGTTTAGCAGGAAGAGCGTCGCCGCCGTCGTAGGTCCGGAACCTTCTCTGGACTCGAGCCAGCACGCGGCGGGCGATGACGTCATCGTTGGAACGGAGGACATCGACGAGGTGAGTGTCGCCTTCAGGAGAATCCCTCACTGGAACACAACTTCCAGTGGCGTGGCGTTCGTGCCGTCGGTGGACGAAAGCTTTCGCAGGCTAACCTAGCGTATGACTCCGTGGGCGGGGAGGCGAGCATGCCTGAGATGGGTTTTCCACATGGTTGGCGTGTTTTTGGCCAATATGATGAGGCGACTGCTGTCTTGCGCCCTTCCGTTGGAAAGGAACTTTGACTTTCGTTCATGGCAAGGTCACGGCGCATCATTGCTTCACTCGTAGACCTTTGCATCCAAGCGCGGATGAGCAGAGAAAGCCGGCCACCTTGTTCTCGAGAACGTTCTCGAGAACAGGAAAGAGCAACAAGCCTTCCCGTGTGCGAAAAAGTGAAACTTGTGGTTGTCCAACTCAGGAGAACGAGATTACAGCCCGTGAGCAAAACTATTTGGTCTTCCTTGTTCTCTGGTTCCCCCACCGCTCACGGAATTTGACGCTGACACGTGTTTTGACATTTAGGGCCTGGACGAGGATGGTGCGCCACGCCTGGGTCTTCTGGCGACGATGGCCTCTGCCCTTATGGAGGACGACCCTGATGAGGGCGCCGCCATCGACGGTCTTGCGCGTAAGCTTGCTGGGAGGGAGTATTTCCTTGACCCGCGGGTGTTCAACTACCCTCAGGTGTGTGCAAGCTTGCGGTTGTTGTTGTTCCTCGTGTTGTTGTTGTAGCTACATGGTCATGTTATCGATGCACTTATTGACTCCCCCACACAAAGATTATCGTTGTTGTTCTGGTCGCCGTCGGTGTTGCCGTTCCAGCTGTTACCATGTGGCCAATCTTTGACCCCCAAAAGCAAGGATGATGTTGTCCATCTGTGTGAAACGTAGCCCAGGCCGGCGGCATATCACTCCGTGTAGGGGATGCGAGGTCAACGACTACGGCATGCGTTTACATGAGTAAGCCCTCCCCCCGGCTATACAATTTCTTGAGCCCCCCCCCGCCCCCCTGTCAACCGCTTCCCAGATGAGGGATGCTTGCATACCCGCCGCGAACGGCCACATGACGGCCAAGGCCCTCGCCACCCTGTACGACAACTTCCTGGGGTCGTTGGGGCTGAGCAGCAACGCCAATGTTAAGACCAGCTCTAGCGGTCGCCGGCGTGTGGTGGCAGGACCGAGCACCGCCACCGCCGCTGTTGCCCTTGCCAAGCCTCCGCCTTTGCTTTGCCGTGCTCGAGTTAACGAAATGCGGGCGTACCAGGTGAGCAGTAGATCCGCCGCCGTGGTGCGGTCGCTTTGGTTGCGACCGACCTTCAAAGCTCGGTTGCGCCATATGTGTGCGGAAAGAACTCGAGTACGTCTATGCGGCAAACCCTCGACGAGATGTTTCGAATTTTCCCCATGCCGAGGTAGGATGATGTGATGCCGCAGGCGCTAGCTTTGCAGAACCAAGCACAGCAAGACTTCGGCGTGTCTTGGAAGACGGGTTGCAGAGCCTCTTCACCATCAAGCTCTTTCCGCGCTACTATGTTGTCCGCGTTCCCTACCCGACCCACACCCCGAGCCTGCCTCGGTACTTGCACTCAACCTGCGTCGATTACACGGTATGACGCCCCAAGGCATGGGTTGCTTGTTCCCCGTGCTTGCTCCGTGTCAGCTTTGTCTAGGTATCGTGGGTGCACATGTATGTGCTCACAGCATATTCCCCTGCGTACACATAGCCCTGACCTGTGTGCGTGTTTTTCTTGTCAGCATCTACCACGCTGACCAATTAAAAGACGTCAATCTCACTGCGATTGGAAACAATTAATGATTCTTTTCTGTGCATGTTGTGTTTTTACCTTACCTCCAGGTGAAGGAAAGCAGCTCGCTCCACCTTTTCTTCGGTCTCCCAATGGGGGGCGTCCGGTACTCGCTGGGCTACCAGATGTTCGGCTTCCGCGAGAAGCCGAAGCCGCAGCAGCTGCAGCGGCGGCACGAGCCCGCGTCTGGCGCGAGCAGCAGGGGAAGCACCACCAGCAGCATCTTCGGTACCCGCCGAAGGCTGAGCGAGAACAGCACCGCTCTCCTGGGCGGAGGGAGCACGACCGGAAGCACGCTCTTCAGCAGGGCCGCTTCCTTGTTCGGGGGGGGAGAGTCTGATGACGGCACAGTGCCCATGACTGACGCTGCTGCTGCTGCTGCTGCCCCCGCCCCCCGGGGCCGCGTGCGATTGTCGGGGCTAGGCCACGTGGGAATGGGCGGTAGTGTGGCTCTGTGTGACCCGGCCTCCGGTCTGGCGTTCGCCATGGTCACCAATAAGGTGGGTTTTGACCTGCGTTTCGATTGTTCCATGGACCCTTGGTGTTATCGTCGCTCCCTTGGTCGTCGGCGTGGTTGTTGTCATCGTTATCGTTGTCGTTGTCGTTGTCGTTGTCGTTGTCGTTGTCGTTGTCGTGGCTGTTGTTGTTCGTCTTGTTCGTCTTGTTCGTGTAGTGTGTAGGGGAGGATCGAGTGTCTCCTGTACGCTTCTGTTGCTGTCGTGGACGTGCTGCCCCGCTCCCTGTTGTCTGAGACAGGTCGGGTTGGTGGGGACGCGGGCAAAGCGGCTTTGTCTTCGTCGCCATGCCCTTGCCATCTCCCTGTCGTGTGTTCATTTTTGAGCTCTTCATGGTGATATCTTTTATTTTGTATCCCTCGACACCTCGCATGGCGGAGAAGCACGCAAGTATTTTGAGCTGCGCCACCTCGACGTCACGACGGAATTCGTCATATGCCCCTTCCGCGGTGCTCAGTTCTTTCTCTCATCCTAACTCTTCCGCGATGGTGCCCCCACCCCCTTTGTGGCGTTTTTTTGTTCCCCTCCCTCCTCAACTCTATCAACTACGGACTCAGGTGGCCACCGGCCGCGAATGTTCCACTGCAGTGCTGAGCCTTGTGTGCGAGGAGCTGGGCATCGGAGATCCGTCGCACTTCTTCGAGGACTAGCACAGATGTCGTTGCGAACCGGATGGGCGGCTACATGGTTGCGGTGCGTATACGAGCGCAAAGGAGCATTTCTGTCTTGCACGGATGTGACGTGCAGCAGCCTTTCGTAGCGGTGCAGGTACAGGGTGTGACTCCTCGGGTTGTTTGGTGCTGTTGGCCCTCGAGAGGTTGGGATACGATGTACTAGACGGGCGAGCTGTGCGCGTTGTCCGATGTCGCAGTACATAGGTTCGAACAATTACAGGATAGCTGTGCCGCATGTTTTTGTTTTTCTTTCGTGTTTGTTCGGGAGGAGCGGCATTGGGGGTGGAACGTTTGGCTAGCTTTCCTCGCAAGGTGTGACGGTACTGAAGTGGGAAAGCTATAGATAGTCGTGTTCTGGTACGCACCAAGGCACTCATTCTGGCGACTTGAAATGCCTCGTTCGCGACAAGGTTGATTCATCCCTAGGTTTGGACTGTAGGTCAGGAGTTCAGAGCCAATAACAAGTCTCTCCGTCGCGAGCACGGTTGTCCCCGTGAATGTATACAGTCGATGCTATGCTATGCTACAGGAGGCCGTCGAAAAGAAGGAGTAGGATTGCTGAGAGGGTACAGCAGTATGCGTGGCTGCTTTGTAAACCTCTGTCGCGGCGAACGTCGAAGGCGAGGGCCGCACAGGGGCTGTCTCTCTCTGCTCCGCGTGCTCCCCGCCTGGTACGCACAATTGCGTAACTGCCGACCGAAAAGAGGTGCCGTGGTGGTATGACTAACATGTACAGTCTTCCAGGGTAGAGGTGCCGTAGGTGGGATGGAAGACCCCTAAATATTTTATGAAAATGTATTTTGGCTGCATGAAGAACCGGTGTCTTGGTGCCTTGTTGTGCGGCGACGGTTGGAAGTCACCCCGTTGTTTCGCGAGTTCTCGGTTTTGGCGATGGCCCTCAGCCAGACATCGGGGCGTTGCCGCTGCTGTATGGCAAGACGGGGAAACCGACTCTTCAAGCTTGGTGGAAACCTCGGGGACGGTAGTGTGTGCGGGGCGTAGGGTGTGTTGTCCTCCCAATTGATGTTCGTGAGGAATAGTGAAAAACAGGGCGAAGGGCGGGTGTTGTTTTGTCGATACCGGTTCACTACATTCTTTTACACCGTGGATTTGATGTCAACGGGAAATTGAGTGCATCTTGTGCGGTGGTTCGGAATCGTGCAGACGAGGCTTGTTTCATCTCGTCGTGTGCAGTTTCCGCCCGCACTAATAAAGCCTCCAGTTTTGGCTGAGGTTGGGGTGCTTAGCTCCTAGGTTTCCGCTACAAAGGGTCTTAATTTAGGTGTCGGTGAAGATGGTTCACAGAGGTGGTGCTCTATACTGCTTTGCTGCCAAGCTCTCGGGTGCGGGCCCGAGCTGTATCGTCAAACATGCGGGCGCAGATATTTCCTGTTCGAGGTAGCTGGCACGAGCAAGTGTACGGGACATGATCGGCATTACGGGAGTTGAGGGGCGTAGTCTGTGCTCCATACGCCAGTTGTACATGTGTGGACTTGGTGTTTGTGAACCCGTTCTCTCGGACATATTTGATGATGATGGCCGTGCACATCGTTCCGGCCCTTTTTTCTGTGTTAGGCTTTGCATACCGCATGGACAGGATTGAGCGTAGTGCCGACGGCTTAGACCATTGATTGCGGTTGGTTCCCTTTCTTTGGCCCTTCTTTCTTGCCAAGAAAAGGGCATTGGCCAATAAACTTTGCCATGCTCAGTTTTTTCCTCGCCTGCTTTCTGTTCGTTTCAACGACCCCGCCGGACACTCAACACGGAAATATCTCAAGGGAAGGGGGGGCTGCGCGTACCCGACACTTCCTTCGTACTCACGGAATCACGCAAACAACACAAGCAAACCCAGCAACACCAACAAGTCACACTCGTTTTGAGAATATATGTATACGGCGTACTGGCTGAAGACAAAGTGCAACACCATGCGCTCGAGCTTGCCACGTACATCATCACAAACGCATATAGGTTGGTTTGGTGCGCCAATCACTCGGCAGTCTCAGCAGAGCATCCGCCACCTTTTCGACCACCACCACTAATGTGCAGTCGCCTCTGCAGTAGCATACTCCGTAGTAGTAGATGCATCGACTAGAGTGTGGACGAAAGACGCGAATGAACGAAGCTGTAGGGGCATGTGGGGGTTGAAAATTTCGCCTGTCGACGATACTGCAGCGGCGAGTTATAGCGGATGGATGTGGTAGTGAGCAAGCACGCCTGAAGGGTAGTAGGGCGCGAATCCCCAACGTTCGCAATAGCGGCGACACAAGACGGGACTTCTTCACGATTCATCCATTCATCATGGGATGGGATCTTGTCAGCTCTTTGCTAGTGAGGACGATTCCCATTGTTGTAAGTGCAGTGAGTAATTCAGTTGTTGTACGGGGGTACACATGCACACCAAATCAGCGGGGATGTGGTTATGGCGATGGGCGCGGGTCGGAGAGGAAAACAACGGAAGGTTCTCGACTGAATCAAAACATTGCTACATGTATGAGTCTAGACTACGTGTACATGTATGTACCTTCCTAGTCAGACTAAGTCTCGTCTATATTGTAACAGCAACGGTATGTATGCAAGAGATGCCACTTTGTTCACGTTGTTGTTAATTCCCAGCATGATGATGCCACTGCACTGTGTGTCGTCATGGGATTATCACGAGGTTCTCAAGGGAATGCCATCAGAAGATCCTGACAAGAATTAAGGCGAGAAGAAGGTCGTGAGAAGTTATAGTAGTCATGTGCTCGAGGAAATAATGATGTCTCTAAAGAAGATGAGTGTTTCGTTGCTGGGTGATGTTTATTTGTTGTTGCTTGCGTGCTGAGGATTATTCTTGGTTTCATGAGACGACAAAGTGCAGTTAGTTACAGCAAGCAAGTATCATCGTGGCAATCTCCTCTTAGAGCAGTCTCGAGAGGGGTACAAGCAACCTATTATGTTTTCTCTTGCCACTGCAAAAATGTTCATTTTGATGAAGCACAGGTCCTGCCTAATATTAGGAAAAGAATTAGAGTTGTGAATCGGAACGATGTACACGATATATATCGTCCGATATATATCGATATCGGTATCGAAAATTCGTGCCGATGTTCCGACCGATGTTTTCTTAGGGGCTCCGTGAATCAAATTTAGGGTATGCGCAGCAGTACGGAGCCCCTGTACGCCACACACACACAGCACAGCAGCGCAGAAACAGCAGACAACAGCACCATGTCCAGAACCAACCGGGAAGTAGACACAGGGAGAGACCGAAGGAGGGTACTGCTGAGGATACGCGACAATACATCAATCTTAATCTTTTTTTTTTTTTTCTACATTCCGTGCGATGTTTGCAGCTGAAGTCAAGCCCTTTTTGATGCCGCATTTGGGCCCATTTTGACGGGAAATGAAAGGAAAATGCACCAAATTTTCTGCCTCCGGCGGCGCCTCCGGCGAGGCCCCCTCACCAGCCGGGGGGGGCCGATGGGGGGGCTCGCTTCGCTCGCCCCCATCACGGCTCGCTGCGCTCGCCCGATATTTTCTCCGATATATCGCCTACGGCGATATATCGGAGAAAATATCGTTATATCGGCTGCTGCGCAGCCGATGTAAAATATATCGTTTTTTCGTACCGATTCACAACTCTAAAAAGAATACAATATGTCGCCATTGTCATCAGCATTGAGCGTCGAATGTAATAATATTCGCACGATGATGACACAGGCTAGCCTACAATATGTACCTTTCTCGCAAGATATACTTTTATGTGTCGACATACATTGTCCCGACCGACCCACTATACCCTTCTGGGATTAGGGTTAGGGTTGGGGTTCAAGGTGTTTCCATGTCTGTAACGCCTCTCAACAGGCACACGTCTTCTTGACTGGGTACAGTACACAGAGTACACACCCCGCCCACGACAACACATACTGCTGTACCATTTTTTTTTTTTTCATATCCAAAAAGATCCGATACAGTAACCGGAGATTCGCTCATCTTGAGATTAGTGTAGATTAACATTCGTTTTTTGCTCCAGTCCCACACACACGATCATTCGGCCCTTCAGTTTCGGCAACTGTTTTGGATCTCAATGAAACGTCGTGCCCACTCACACCACAGGTCAGCTCACCAGGACAGCAGGCCTCGTCACGGCGGTTCTCGAAGCTTGACATCGCCACCAACGCGCAGGATTGTCACACTCCTTCAATAGAGCAGGCAGGGCGCGGTACTGCTGTAGTTGACCGCCGAAAGGAGCGCAGCGAACCCGTCGCGATGGACGGCGGGCCATTGGCTCCGACCACAGGGGCGACAGCAAGGGTGTCAGGAGTGCCGACCCCACAAGGCGGCCCAAAGTATCGGCCTCAGGACACCGAGCATGGTGCCAGGGGGGGAGAGGAGGAGGGAAAAGCCGAGGAGTCCTCCATGGCTACCGCTCCTGAACCATCGGCAGCAGCAGCGAAGCAGGTTGCGCCGATGCGCAACCTCTACACCGCGGCTATGTCGTACAACGGATACACCGTCACTGACGGCGCCTTGAGGCTCATCGTGTTACTGCACGCGGCCGACCTCGGGTACGTTTGTCATCAACACTGCTGCTGTAGGGAGGGGGTGCCTCCCACCTCCGTAGTAGGAAGCTTGTTTCTAATGTCTGCTGCTGTGTAAATGACTGCGCTGCACTTACCGCAATCGATCGCATCACATGATTCAAAAACACAAATGATTTTGAGAGTCTGAAGTCCCGTGACCCCCAAACGTGCGCGCTGTGGTCATTTGCAGGTTCAACGCCATCGAGATCGCCTTCATGTTCAGTGCCTACGAGGTATGTGTACATGCGGAGAGCCTCCCCACCCTTGCTAAGACCCGTCTATGTCCAATAGGATTGAGGGTGCGGCGCGAATGATCGCCCGCGCTCGCCGTCCTGTGCGTGTGTATTCTGTCTTGGACACTTTTCTTATTTAGAGACGAATTCGTTGTGTCTAAATACTAAAAGAGCGTGTGTGTGTGTAGAGAGGCACCATTACTCTTGCGGGATGTAATAGTTCACACGCCGCAGGTATGTACGATATGACTACCACGCAGTACAGTACACAGCAAGTCACGTTATCTAGTCCCTCGAATAGCAGCAAACCATTCAGATTATTTTTACAGAGAAGCGTAGCGTAGAGCTGGATGATGTGTTCGGTCGGAGCAGAACGCGCAACAGCAGTACAGCACTACAATATATCAAGGGAGAGTTTCGAGAACTAGTTTCGAGAATTATTTTACATCGTGAAGTACCGAACATGCCAGCGGTTATTTTGTTGTTTTGCCCGACCGTCGTTTCTCTTGTTCTCCGTGGATTAAACATCGACTACATGCTATGATAAATACCTGCTACTTGTAGTCTACATGTATGTCTAATTACGCCCCGCACAAACTTTCAATACATGGGTTCACACAGGTTCACATCCATCCTTCGACTGTCTTTGTGTTAGTGTCTCGACCGGTTTGTCTTCAGGAGATCTTGCGGCTTCCAGAGTAGGATTTTAATGTGATTTGAGCACCTGTGCTACGGCGAACGTCTTAGGGTAAGTAGTTCGAAGTCGAAGATACCAGGTATGGGTTCATGTAGTGTATTTTACTGTTTTTTCGCAACTGGGGGGCGCGTACTACAACAGTACCGCAGCAGTAGGAGACAAACCAGGGTTAACGCCTCTTCATTTTGACACCCGGTGGAGCGCATCCCTTGATTTTGATAACAGCTTGCGAGCAAGAGCTTTTGACCAGAACAACCAACCTTCCACACGTGCTTACTGCGAAGGCTCGACCTGAATAAATGTTCTGTGGTGAGCTTTTCATGCCCGGATTGTTTTGCTTGTTGTTTCGAAAGAGTTCAATGCGCAACCAAATAACTACTGCCGCGTGGCCTAACCTTTTTCGGCTGCACGAGTTCTGGACAACCCCACCGCGCCCATATTGTAACCTCCGCCGTCCCTGGTTGCGACAGGTGGCTGGGGTATTCACCAACCTCTTCGGGGGCGTGGCTGGCAGCAAGTACGGTCTACGCTTCACGCTCTTGACATCTCTGGTGCTTCAGGTGGGCGCACACGGCCCGGTGTTGGCCTTCTTTTTCCCACGCGGTCGTCTGGTTTCGTTCGTGTGGTGGGGTGGAGTCGCTGGCGTCTCCACGCCGTACCATGAGCAGCTTCCAGATTCACGGCCAGTTGTCAGCTTGTTCAAGCCTAACCAGTCGCCTATGATTCCCATGACCAACTGCAGCTCGGCCTGTTGCTAAACTTGCTCCATGATCAACTTGAAGGAGGGGCGAGATTAGCTGGCAAAACGTCAGCCTCCCCCCCCGTTTCAGACTGGCTAGCTGCATTTGTGACCTACCTCTTGACCAATTCCCCGCAAGCATCGCTCTTGTCACAACAGTCGTCCTTCGGTTGGCATGTACCGAATACTACTTCGACCGTCCGACCGTGCATGCTGGTATGGTACGGAAACCCGTGGTTGTGTATGGCGGCATTCCGAGCAATCCGCCCGTTCATCGCACACGACGGAACGTACCGCAACAGAAAAGAACGCGAGGCAGAAACAAACGTTTCACCTAATTTTTTTTCCCGCCGAGGTCACCACAGATTGTATGCCTCTCGGCGCTCACGCAAACGGAGCCGGTACTGGGGGACTTGAAAGAGGCCACACCGGGGAACACGAGGTACCTCGAGGCTACCATCTACATCACCGCCTGGCAGGCGTTGGCCGGCGTTGCCAAGGTATGTAACAATGTGGGCGACCGATGTGGACGATTCACAGGAAGCTGCTTGACTATTCGCTGTGGTGCTGTACACGCGGACGCATGCACACTTTCGTTTTCCTCGAGTGGTTGAATAGTGACATGCCGATGGCTTTTAGCGATCGCATGCATCCTGCTCTTTGCCGTCGAAGTAGAACACCGAACCAATGGTAACCGTAAACGAGAGCGGTCTTGTCACGCCTTTGTGCTGCTGCTGCGCGGGCAACATGTAACGGTCGCGCAGGACTTGATGAAACTCACCGGCAAGGCGACGCCGAAGCTCGTTACAAAGGAAGGCGCGGAGGGGAGATTGTTCCGGGTTGTTGCTTGGCTGACCGGCATGAAGAACGCGCTCAAGGGGTAAGCAAGGAGACACGACTAGACCAAAATAGACCATCACCAATCTTCCCTCAAGGAGCGAGGAGACACGACTACAGTAGAACGGACCTTCACCAATTTGCAACAGCTTTACTGGAAGTAATGCGCAAAAGACTACGGCGCATACGTCCCCCTCTCCGCAAGGTATCCGAAATGAATGGCCATGACATCGTAGTTCGGTTCGTATGCTCGGTGTGCAGGGCAAAGAGAAATAAGCGCACACGCACACATACACAGAGAGACAGAGGTTTGGGTCAGACCGCACTTCGATGGTTGTCGTTCTGAAAAACGCTCGCGGGTGCGGCTTGTTTACCCTGCTTCCAACGAACGCCCCGTGGCGCCTTTTGCCGTGTCCTTTGGTTTGAACGGCCACGGGCAAGCCGCAAATGTCCAGGCGCACCTTGTCCATGTTGGTTTGTCAACCGCCCCGGGGCGCTATTATATGTGTCATACCCGTCCGTTGAGTCGGCGTAAAGGTCCTCGTTCAGCCGGCGCACAAGTGTTAGGGGGGACGATTCCGATTGCGTTTCTCTCCACCTCCGTATTCTCTAGACGCGTTGGTTTTGACGTTGTTCCGCTGTTTTATTTTTGCCCTTCCTTTGGTGACGTTGGACGAGACCATGTCGCGACAAAGCACCACGTCGCACCAATTGCCCCAAACCGTTGTTTTTTCTCGGCAAAGGTTCGGAAGCTTCTTGGGCGCGCTCTTGGTGGCCCAGATAGGTTACGTGAAGAGTCTGTGGATCCTGGTCGGCATCTGCGCCTTCTTTGTACCGGTTGGAATTTTCGGCATGGACAGGTATAAGCGCAGCAAGTTGTAGAGAGATATTTTGCTGCTGCAGCTATTCCAGTCTCCAGCTGCGAGCTAGTGTGGCTTTAAGCGCTGCTGCTTTGCACCGGTCCATTGTTGTTTCGGACGTTAAAGAAACCACAACTCCGTGAGAGATGGTGTGTGGCTGTCTTGTAGTCTACGCTCGTAACCGACAGCCTGAAGAAAAGAAGACAGAAGTTTTTCACGCCACGCCCCCCCCCCCCCCCCCCCCCCCCCCCCCCCCCCCCCCCCCCCCCCCCCCCC